CTCTGTAACTCATTTCCTGAGACCATGCAGCTCAGCTGGCTNCCCCAGGCATGTGTATCCTTGCTTTCTTTCACCTAAGTTCCAAGGGCCCTTCTTTTGCCTCTGTAACTCATTTCCTGAGACCATGCAGCTCAGCTGGCTCACTTCTTCTACTTCTCTAACTTTCTACATAAATTCTCATATAATTTGAGTTCTTGGCTCTAAATTCTTTCTCAGCAGAACTCAAGGACCAAGATCTAACATCCGGTGCCGTTTCACCACTGCCAAAACCAAGCATATTAAAATTGTTGGTATTCTTTGATATTAAAGAATGCTACTATAACTTCCAATTACTTACAGTGACTGGGACTAGTTTTTGGTTTTACTTTAAAAGGATTGTCCTAACATAGTTTAGGCTATTTCCATATTTGATATTGCTGTATTGTTGGGCTCTTTACAAATCAATAAATACTTTTAAAATAAATGAATACTTCTGAAGTGTTTCAAAGATATCTTATTCTCTAGAAGGTCTCAAAAATGTCCTGTCATCTCTCTAATGTCATCTCTCTAGATAAAATTTAATTTGTATCTGTAGTAAGATTTACTTTTCAGTTGTAATTTGTTTTAAATAATTTGTTGAAATTAAGTTGTCCCAGATTCTATGCTCAGCAGCTGGAGGCAAAAGAGGAGGAAAAGCCCTGCCTTCCCTAGAGAAGCTCACTTTCTATGAGGGGGATACCCTGCGAACAATTGATACCGTATGACAAGTAGTAACTCAGATGTGTGAGTGTAGAGAAAGGGAGAAGTTTTGCAGGTACCTGCTGACAGGTATCCTGGAGGAAGACGGGAAGTGGGGGTAAGCTTGCGGGGGTAAGGAGGAAGCAAAAGGCCTTGTAGTCAGAGAGAGCAGCGTGAGTGAGGCAGGGTTCTGATGAGTATCAAGTAACTTAGAGAATAGAATTAATTACATAATAGAAATACTCTCTGAGGCGCTCATTTGAGTAATGTAATGATAGTCTTATTTAAACATGAAGTGAGATAAATTCTCAGAGTTGATCTATCTGTGCTTTGGATGTGAAAGAACCTTAAAACAATGCTTTTATCCTCCAGGTAGGAAACTGAGGCCCAGAGAGCGCTGCCCCCTACCTTGTTAGCCATAGGCCAGCCCCAGCACACACAACACCTCTTGACTCAAATATATTTGTTTTGAACTAATATTTATTACTGACTTTCATTTACTTCAGTAAACTGCTCTTCCTTCAATATTATAGAAGGAATTATGTTTTAATGTAGAAAATATATAGTAGAAATAGAAATCTCAGCTGCTTTTCATTTCCTAAGGAAAAAACAATTCTGAAATCTTGTTTTAAATGTTTTACATTATTATAAAGGGAATTTATCATAGGTGTTTGCCAAGTTGGATTATAGGTACTATATCAAGGGCAGCATTTTATAATCCTTTCCTCAAATCTCATCATTGGAAGTTAGAGTGTCTAATGGGTTTATCATAGAGCTGCACTGATATTGCACTAAAGCAGTTCATGGATTATAAGAACAATTTTAATGCTTAATTGTGTGACGTTTTAGCCAAGAAAACACACACTTTTATAGATTTAACTTACTGTGATATTTTCTTCTATAACCCTTCCCCTGCAGGTATCTCTAGGTCATCTTAATGAAAAGTATAGCTCATGCTCAACAATATTTTTAGATGACAGCACAATTTGCCAGCCTAATCTTAGGATCACCATGCAATGGTGAGTACAAATAGTTTGCCAGGGCTCAGTGACAGACCCCCTTATGCTAAAAGCATCCTACCCATATGTAATCTCATTTGATTGTCCTTTTTGGTGATCAGGTTAAAAACTGGTGTCAATTATGTATTGATTTCAATTTCCATTTTAATCTTAGAGTGGATGGAAGAAGGGAAAGCCAGTTAACAAATAAATTATTTCCCTCAAAAGTATTCATCTTTATTTGATGCATTACTGTTGTTGGACACAATTCAAGGAGAGGTGCTTTTCATTGACTGTTTCTAGAAAAAAAAAGTTTCTTTATGAGATACAGGCCTAAAACAATGTGTACTACTCTGGAAGCTACTCTTGGAGGAAGGAACAGCTTGTCTCCCACTGGCGCCAGAGTGTATCTGTATTTACATATAATTGGAATTTGTCAGATTTCCCACATTGTACTTTTTTTTTCCCTTCTCTATTTCTATATTAAAATTCACTTCTCCTTCCAGGAAAAATGCATCAAACCGGTCTTAAGGAACAACTTTTCAAGCTAATTTCTTTGTGGATAAAATGTGTTCAACTGAAGTTTTAATTTTATAGATGTATTAATTTAGCTATATATATATATATATATATATATATGTATTGATTTAGCTATATATATATGTATATATATATGTATTGATATGATTACATATAGATATATGTAAATGCATTGCAAAGACACTTTATCAATCCACATATAAGGAAATCACAGCAGAAAAAGTGAGAGAGGTGAAGCTTTGGAAACAGTCACAGTCAGGTTTACTGAAGCAAATGTAACAGTGTCATGATGGTGAAAACTATTCATTAAGTTCTGCGAGCACCACATAGTCCACAATTGGAGATGCACTTTAAAAACACCCTAAGATGAAACTTTCAAACTATTTAATAGTGAAATAAAACCAAAATAGGATGTAGAGCTTCGTGAATCCCACTGGGTTGTCCAAGGAACATTATCAGTGTCTTCTGGCTGATTTTCCAGAACACAGGGGAATGCTACCTGGAAATATTAATATCCTCATTCTTAATGTTATTTTTCAGTCCTAAAAACATAATTTGTATATAAACTTAATTTGGTTTCTATTGTACCAGCTTTTTTGCTAATTAAATTATCAGTAACTTGTACTTTAATTAAAAACAGCAAGTTCCCAATCATAATAATGTAACTTTCTTCTCTTACTTATAACAGCAGTTGAGATCAAATTGTGTTTCAGCAAAAATTGAGCCCCATCCCTCTCTAAAGTCCTGAGCTTTGGAACCTATCGCACAATCACTAAATCTTTTTATTCAGCCAGGACACTAAATCCATGAGTAAAAAAACCACTCCACTCTGGTTAAATTCCATAGCTTCTTTTGAATTCAGAAGAGTCTGATGTTATAGTATATAATTCAAAAGTAGTTTTAAAGATTAACCTTGCTCAGACAAGTAGGTATTGTGCTTTTTTCCCTCCAAATTAGTCTAATTTTTGGAAGTACAGTAAGTTTTAACTTGCTCTCACCAAGTTTTGAAAATGATCATTTAGTACATTTACTGTTGGTAAAATGAAGATTTACTGAGAAAATTAATAAAGCTAATTGGCTTTTAGGAATGGTTTTGAAAAAATGTAAAATGTGCCCAGCCGGGCGTGGCTCAGCGGTTGAGTGTCGACCTAGGATCCAGGTGATTGGGGTTCGGTTCCCGATCAGGGCACATGCCCGGGTTGCGGGCTGCAGCTGATCAATGACTCTCTCATCATTGATGTTTCTAGCTCTCTCTCCCTCTCCTTTCCTCTCTCTGAAATCAATAAAGATATATTTAAAAAGAAAAAAGAAAAAATGTAAAATGTTTATTATGGGGCAGTAGTGCATTGTCCTCAGTGGGGGGTGGCTGAACCTTATTAGAATCACGTCTGCAGCTTTTTTCAAAATATATGTCTCTAAACACATGCATTCCATTTCCCCTTCCCCAGCACACTCTCTAACTCTCACAAGCCTTTTGATAAGCTGAGAAAGGATGGGAGGCGTATTATATGGAGAAAAGCATCCAGGGTGATTCTGATTTTAACCCTAATTCATGTGTTGACATTGCAGTCACCTGAGAAGTTTTCAAAAACAATCCCAAGTCATACCCAATGCCAGTTAAATCAGATCCTCTCAGGGAGCGAGCCAGGCAGTTTTTAAAGCTGCTCTGGTGATCCCAGTGTACAGCCAAGCTTGGGAACCACACTCCTGATTAGAGTGTAGGAGAAAGAGAACCACTTCTCGCTGTTGCTGGGACCTTGAGCAAGTCAGTTTTAAGCCTTGGTTACCTTACCTGTAAAATGGGTTGTTGAATTAAATGTCATCAAAAGTTCCTTGGTTCTTTTCAGCTTATACGCTTCAAATTCTGTGATTTTAAAATAAATTTGAAGATGAAACCGTTCGAAGCACTATAGAAGTACCCATCTTTGATGCTGTTACAGGCCCTTTTACTAGGTCTTAATATTCTGTAGACCTAGTTATAAAATTCAGATTTGCTTTCTCTCAGTTATTTTGAGCTTCATTTTAGACATTGAGGGCAAAGAGGAACAGCATATAATTTAACCTATAGTACCCCTGTGTTTCATATTACACAGCATCTGTGAATAACTTAGGAATATAGTACCTTACACAGTATCTGAGGACTTACATATGCTCATTAAAATTGTATTTAAATTAATTTGGAAATAAATGTTACTAATATTACACTCTGTACTATTACGCTGCATTGTTAGCACTGCTTATTTTAGGAGAGTTAGACCTATTGATTTTGTTGGTTCTTATATTTGCCATTAAATTTTCTAACAGTTATGTAAAAGTGATCTTAAATTATTTTATTTGGTATAGAGTGTTTTGTTTACCTTTAGGGAAATGATGGAAAATGGGTAGGTAGGTAGAAAAACTATTGTATTTCTTAAATTTAAGCCTGTGTATAAACAGATCTAACTTGTACAGGATGAAAGGTTCTATGGGTAGAAGGTCAAATGACAGGAAATGTGTAAGAACATATATTATAATAACCAGCCAAAACGTGTCTTCTAACAGCATATTCTCTAGCATTTTGGTTTTCCTAATTTTGCTGAAAGTCAAAGAACTACAATAAGGCAAAAAGTGCCCATGAGAAACTGTTCTGAAAGAGGATTTCGTGTCCACTGGGCAGCTGGGAAGGCCCTCCCCACCACAACCCCTTTTAAGAAATGTCTTCAGACCTAACATAAAATCAATTGTTACAATTTTTTTTCTCCACAGCCTGGCATTAGCAATATATTACCATATAAAGAACAGGTGAGTTTTAAAACCTGTCTTGTTATTCTAGCTAATAAACTTACAAGATATAAAGTTTAGTGTTAGGTAATAACTGTAGACATTATTGGAGTGAGCTGTCGAGTGCTTTTATTACATTATTGAAGTGAATCATTTATTTTTGTCTTAGGACTCTTAATGCTTAAGTTATTGAGGAGCCCAAAGAATATTTGTTTATTTCGGCTGTATTGATATTTGCTGTATTAGAAATTAAAATTGAGAATTTAGAAATAAATCCCTTGTATGTTGAAACATGGTCTTTTATAGCACTGTTGAAATTTTGAGCTAGGTAATTCTTTGTTGTAGGGGTTGCCTTGTGTGTTGTGGATGTTTAGCAGCATCCCTGGTCTCTCCTCACTAGAAGCCAATAGCACCCTCTTCCCAGGCCACATTGTGACAACAAAAAATGTCTCCAAACATGGCTGAATGTTTCCTGGGGGACAAAATCACCCCTGATAGGGAACCATAGTATTAACATAATTTTTATAAAAAATAATTATTTTCCACAACAAAAATGTTGAGTGGAAATTGTGTCATTTATTTACATTTTTGCAAATTTCTATGTCTGGTTTAATAGAAGACAGCTGATTCTCAGGTATACCCTGTCTTCAATCATTTGTAATTACTTCAATCATCTCAATAATTTGTTTTGAAGAAACAATATAAAGAAGACCCAGCCTCATGTAGTTTTATGGCTAGAAAAGGGTTTATTTTTAAAGCCTTCAGATAATTGTGGATATTCTTTGATACAGTACCCAAAGTCCACACTTGCTGGTTTCTTAAATTAGTTACAATGAAATTTTAAATCATATTTGTGAACTTGCAGTAAGGTCCCTGTTAAATTAATACCCATTTATATATATCTTGTATGCTGAATGAATCTTTTTACTTGTATATATTTATAATAATATTATGCATTGGTCATTTGGAAAGTATTGGCTAACATTTCTTTATACAGTATTAAAACTCACTTTTGTTAGTTAGCATCATATAACCACCAGTCTTCCCAGAAAAGCCTTTAAGTGTTGAAAAGCTCCCAAGCTCACAAAAAAAGGTACAAGTTTTCCACAATCTTGATTTTTAGCTTGATACCTTGAGTTTTGTCATTGGCAACAAATAATACAAGTTATTTTCCTTGAAGTCAGTCTCACTTTTCAGTTTTGAGAGAATGACAGTTGTACTGTCAAATAATGATGTTATTCAATGAAAAAGTAGCTCATTCAGCTCACAGCTATGTCACAAGTGCTTTTCCGTAACCACATTGCAGTATGCAGAAGTGCTTAATGCATACTTTCCCCTTACTCAGATAGAAAAGAAGAATCAGTGTTCCATAACACTGTCCTTACTGCTTTATCAAAATTGTTCTTAAGAAAAACAAAATTTGTTTTTCAACAAGTAGTCATGAAGAATAAAATGACTCCTAGCACAGGGTGGTACCCCTGCCTTGATTCAGGCTCAGAAGCCAGTTTTACTGACTTTTGCTTTTATACAGTCATTGCAAATGTCAGTGTAAGTGCAGGCAATGCCTCAATATTTCTATAAAAAGTTTTTGCCTCATAGGTCTCCTGAAAATGGACTAGGGGAACCCCACAGACCTTCAAAACAGGCCTTGGAGAACCACTGTTTAAATGAGTAGAGTGTATTATTGTGGAAAATTAAACAAAAAAAAAACTGGTTGCCCTGGCCTGTGTGGCTCAGTTGGTTGGAGCATCGTCCATACACTAAAAGGTGGCGTGTTTGAGTCCCAGTCAGGCCACATACCAAGGCTGTGGATTCAATCCCCAGTGGGGTGTGTGCAAGAGGCAGCCAATCAATGTCTCCCTC